TATAGCATGATAAATATATAATAAATTAATTTTGTGTAATTTATATATATTAAATATATTCACTTACAATGCGATATTGACTTTTACGTGTAAACATACGTTTAGGACATTGTACATGATGATGTTTGGTTACCCATGGCCGTACATTAAGCCATTGTAAAGTGTTATTAGGTTTTAAATTGGTTTCATTGTAAAGTAGTATTAATTCTTTTTGTGTACGCATAGCCAGTCGATCAATTTCACGTTCAAATTTACCAACTGCAGGTGTACGATCGCCAAGGCCAACAATTAATATCACATCAGCTTGACGCATGCAACGTTGCGTCCAAGCACTTAATGATGAATCACACTGGTAGAGTGTTATTATATTTGCATCTTCTTGTTGTGCCAACCATGAAGTCAAACGGTATTCATTGTTCGATTCAAATATATTTAAACCTAACTGTTTACGCACAACTTCTGATGTAAGACGTAGAGTCGGACCTTTAAATATTTACATTATTTTAATCATTTAAATCAAGTATTTTAATTATTATTTATAAACATACCAATAGCACAAAGGGAATGAAATAATTCATAAGTAAATGCAGTCAGTGGTACATCATCACTTACTGGCACCAATGCAACTGTTGAATATTTATGTGTTACAGGATTTGCTTCAAGCGTTGCTGAATTTGAGCCATGTCTTGTTTGCATTGTACCCAAGATTCTGTGACTAAGTAAACTAATAAGTCTTGTGACCACAATTGGATATCGTAATTTTATCGCATTGAATAGTCCTTCAGGCAATTTTGCTAATTCAGAATCTCGTACAGCCATTACAGTTGTTGTGCGACAGGTTTCAGTTATCATTTCGATTATGCCCACAAGATCACCTTTACCATATTCACCTACAATTTCCTTTTTACCATTTGTATGCGTTGCAACAGAACGTAAGCGTCCACTTAGTACAATATATGTGCTGTCGCTAACCTCATCCTGTCGGTAAACAGCACGACCAGATTCTAGAAATGTCCAATCTAAAGCATAATCACATTGACGAACTAATGGCGAAAGACGGCGCACAACACCGCTACCCAAATCAAGCACAATATTGGGACGTTCACGCATAATTCTAGAATTGAAATTAAATATTTGTTAAGTTTTTATGATAAAAATATATTATGGTTAATATCTATCACGAAAATAAATAACTTAATTAAGATATTGAATTACTTTAACACCCTAATTTAATGGATAATATAATACATATTGCTTTATTTTATAAATAAATTTCTCCATCTTCTTCCCTTCCAGGGTTACTATAGACGTTAAAGGTTTTCATTAATAACGATAATCTTATTTTCAATAAAATGTATAATAATTTAGAGTAGGTTAATCTGACTGTTAGTAAACTGTAGATATACTTATTGGTCAGTACTGAAGCGTATCTATTGGTTCATAGCGTACTATATGGAGTAAGAGACCTCTATGGTATGTAGATTTATAGTAGGCTTCATGCAGAATGATGACGCTTTTTGGTAATTTAAGGCATGATTAAGAATCCATTTTCGCGACGTTTTCCTGCTTTTCATATTGTAAAGCAGCCAGGCATTTCAAGCGTATTTGTGATATAGTATAAACGTAAGTAATTTTCTTAAGTCTAACCACATTTAATAATTTTATAGATATATTCAGCATTAATGTTGTAATTAACTTAAATATTTTAAACTAGGTGTTGATATTCGACTTACAAGTAAATTGATGGTCTCCTTATAAAAGCAATTCTGCTATAAAATTTTGATTTTATTGTGTAAGGGCTTGCTTCACCAGTTAGTACTGCTAGACCACCCATGATTTCTCCAGGATGTACACTATGTATATAAGCTTCAGTTTTATCTGTTTGAATATTACGTTTATTATCAGCAACACTTTGATAAACGGCTAAGCCACCAGTCATAACAAACCAGACACAAACATCCTGTAAATACATATAGAATATAGTAGTATATGGTATATCAGATGCATATATTAACATTATAAAATGGAAATTTCGTGACTTACTTCAGAGTTGCCTTCAGTAATCAGTGTAACACCAGCTTCAACTTCACGCTCTTCTACAAATGGGTCTAAAAAATGACGATCTTCGTCTTTTAAACCTAGTTCCCACAATAAACTGTCAACAGCTGAGGCATGCACCAAATTGGAATCAATTGTAGCTACTCCAACTTGTGGCTCAATATGAGATTGAGCAAAATTTTTGTTAGGTTTATTACTATTTAGTGATTGTGAACCTTGTGTATTTACATTATAATGCTGAAATTCATTTGAAATATCAGCTAGCATATCTGGTGGAGGCCCCATATCTGATAAGGTATGTTGTATATTTTCAGGTTGCGAACGACGATGGGATGGTGACGTTTTGGATGCATAGGAAAAAGATTGTTGCTTTTTGTGTCGCATATGATTTTGCATTAATTCAGAATTTAAACCTAAATAACTCCGTAGAGCAGTAAAAAGTACGCGCTGCAGTCGTATCATAATAGCTTGTATGACGCGTATCATAATATCAGGATTTTCATCAAATACTTCCTTGAAGGCCTATATAAGGAAAAAATATCTTGAATGTAATTAATTGTAGAAGTATAAGTAAAATTTATATCTGACCTGCATAGGTAATCTAATAACGTAAGACTTCTCCTCTGCTTTCGCAGTAACAGTTTTATAATAACTGGGATTACCAGAAAGTACATCTATAAAACTAAGTAATGATGTTACAGATTCACCTTTTTTGACCGTTTTCAGTGATAGTGTGCTACCGTCAGCATTTGATATATATACATGAATCAAGCCAGATTGTACTATAAAAACACTATCATCTGCATCGGTTATTTTGAATAGATAGTCGCCCGGATCAAGCGTTAAAACTTCGGTATGTTTGCACAGTTTGAGAAAAATAGGCTTTTCAAAGTGTCCAAAAATACGTATGCTCTGTAGCATATAAAGTGCATCTGGTGGTACTCGATCACTACCTTCCATTGTTTCTTCCAAATATTCGACTGGAGGTTCAACAGTCTTCAAATGAAGTGGATCAGTCTGATCACGTCGTAGCTGTAAAATTCGTTTAGCAAAACGCATTACTGCTCTCCGTTTACGTCCTTGTCCACCGTAAACTTGTCCGGAAACATTTTTCACTTTGCGTAACATACGACGACCATAGAAAAGCATTTTGTCACGTTTGCGAAAACGCAAACGCATATCACTTGAATTTGTGTCGTATGCCTGCATTTCGTGGACGGCTTTTTGCTGTAAGAATAATAGCTCTTGTTTCTTTCGGTGAGCCCATAATTTGCATATTATTAAAGTAGTAATCACAAATAATGCAAATAAAGAACACGTTATAAAAACGTATGACTGTAAGAAAAAAGAAAATTATATATGGTTATAAAAAGTTTTTTATTTTCTTTGTTATTTATTGCAAAATGTTAATAAGTCTTAGGTACTTATATATGGTTCACTTGCCTAGACATTAGGGAGTCTTATTGTAGAAGTTAAAAAAGTTAATTAATTGAGATTGATACTAAAAATCAAAGACGAACAAATTCTCTGATATAAAAACAATCGGTTGACGAACCAGACCGCTGGTAATTTGTCTAGTTTTTCTGCTCTCATGAAAGAAATTTTGAATAAAGGGGACGAAACATGAGTTTTAATTTTCAAGATCAGTTCACTATATCATATAGTTGTCATATAAATTTAACAATTGGAAAAAGGGATTTTTGTTATTATTTCTAAACGGATTTAGCTAAAATTGATGTTAATATACACAATATAAATACGTATTCTTCTTAAATCTCATTTAGATCAGATCAAGTAGGAATATGGTAGTCATAGTAACCCAGACAATTATTCCGCTGATGAAGAAGATTGTATGATTTGTTTTTTTAACAAACAGTGCAAATAATACAAAAGTTGTGAATAACATTTGAATGGTGGCAATGATTGGCTATTGGACTTAGACCAGACTGCTTATACCTCTCTATTTATCTTAACAAAGTTGAATGTTAAGTATTTATTACAAATTGGAAATATTAAAAATATCTTGGCTTTGACTTATGAGTAATAATAACTAAATTTGTGAATTTTTGTTGAAAAATGGTAGTTTGGTTTAAAGAGAGATTACAGAATATATCATGGTGCATGGTAGAAGGAAAACTTTTTCAAAAAAGTGGTCTTAAGATAATAAGACACTGATATACGACTAATAAGAAGAGAAAAAAGATGGCAAAATTTTGAGAATAATAGGAGAAGGGATAGAGTTTTTCCATAAAATCATTTCTGAACCATCAAAATTTTTAAACCAATTTAATTATAAAATTTTTTAGGGCTGTGTACGAATTCGAGTAAATTGATGGTAAGTTGAGGAAAATAGTAAATTACGTCGGTATGGCAGCGAATGTTGGTATTTACCAAAATTTAGAATAGGGTAAATTAGATAAAAATTAGGTAAATTAGGTATTACCATTGTGAAAATTTTATAAGACGAAAAATAAATAAATAAATAAATTTGAAACCTTTTAACTAAAAATAATAAATAAATGCAATAAATAAATAAATATTTACATAAGTGCAGTGCAAATCAAATTTTATCACAATTTACTCGTACTTGCACACGGCCTAGATATCAGATTAACTGATATTATTTAGACTAAAGCTTGGGTACAACCATTTTGATAAATCCGTTTTTTTAAGTATTAGGAGCTTTCTGAGTAAATAATTTTTCAGAATGTGAAAATTTTTGGCACATTATAGCTTTTTCCGTTTCGTGGAATCCTGAAGACTTTAATACGAAATATTTTTTTTATAAAATCCTATTACCGTCCTATAATATTCTATTAGAATTGTATGTATGGAATTGTATGGATTCTATTAGGGCTCTAAATATCAATATATCGTCATAAAAGTTGATGATAAGTATGTGTTCGTATAAGAAAAACGTTTTCAATCGGTTTAATTTAAATGATCCACATATTTAATATAATCAGTTCTGCATATATCATATTTATTTCCATATATACTTTTTTAAAAAGCAAAACATAATCAATTGTTTAAGTAATTCAGTTATTATTGATTGCAAATGAGAAAAACAAATTAAATGATTAAACATAACATAAAGTGCATATTCTGTCCACATAGGCACCACTGCAATAATCAGTTTTATGCTAATAGCATTTGTTTGGCATTTTGTTGACGATTTTTCTATTACGCAGAATACGCAGAGTGCAAAGCATAGGAACTTGGCATTGAAATTAGCATGGCAGAGTGACAGAGGCAGCGAAAAGTGCACTGCAATTGCGAGATTGCCTAGTAATTGTTGCATCTCGAGTCACTTCCGCCTTCTACGATATTTGCCCGTGCAACAGTTGTTGGCCGCGCGCAGTGTTATTGTTTTCTTGCCAAGTGGTAAACAATAAAATTGTTTTCACTATTTTTATTTACGTTGCGGTTAATTGAAATATTAAATAATATTATGTATCATTATTTGTTGTAAATAGTAAACAAGATAAAATTAGAAAATATTTCAACATTTCTGTTTTCATTAATTTATAAAATAGTTTTGTTTGGTAATCTCATTTTCATGTTTGAATAGATGTTTATATAGTAATTATAATAGTTATAATGAGTCATTTTTTGTTTAGAAATCTTGAAACTTACCATATAATAAATTTATTAACGAGACTTATAGGAATTAAATTAAAAAAAAAAGTTTTATAAAAAGACATGGATTCTCCAGACTCTCCTCAACGACTACTGCTGAAGATGTTGAAGAAAAAGATGAAAATGACACTTAAATGATGTTCTGGCACTGTTTGATATTGTTAATTATCTACTCTATTCATTAGAGTTCACACGTTCATAAATGTGATCTCGGTATCTATAAAACGAACGTTAAACCCATTATCTGCTGCTTTAAAATAATACATACATATATGTTTCCTGACTCAGTAATGGTGTATATCTCTATTCAAAATTTAAGATAACTTTTAAGCAATTTTTAAAAAAATCACACACTTGAAAATACAAAAACAATTTAAATAGGAAACCAGATCTATCGTCTTTGGCGTTACAGTTCTAAAACGATCTTTTCCTGTAATCAGAGGATATTCAAGTTTGGGCAACAGAAAAAAATCTCACCGGGCGAATTCAGGTGGGTACGTTGCTTGGTCTAGCATTGTTTATTTTTTTCCCAAAATCTTTGACCATTATGAATCAGTTATATCCAGTTCAGGTAAGTACGTTGATTGCTCCATCATTGTTTAGTTTTTTTTCAAAAACTCAGATCATTATGATTCGTCAGATATTTTGTGTAAATTCGGATTTAAAAAAAATCTCACGTTACCAATTCAGGTGAGTACGTTGCTTGGTCCACCATTGTTTAGTTTGTCCCGAGAAACTCTGACAATTATGATGGTTGAGCAGTTAGTGTACATTCAGATTCGAACATTTTAGTTCTGCAAAAATATTGGAGCTACTTAAAAATGTACTCGAAGTGGTCATTTAAACTTCGGGAGCAGTGAAAAGATACACGAGATTAAGTCAGGCGATTAGGGGATCGTGTTTATTCATATTCAATTTACAGATATGTTTCATGCGCAAACAGTAAATTAATTTTATATTAACTTAATTTTTGTTTTATTTTATACAAACAATTGTAACACAAAATGCTTTCGATATGTTCCTGCTAAACGCTCGAGCACAAACACATTGAAACATTAAAATGTTCGATGTTTCAAACTGTTCGCAAAATATTTGAATCCCTACTTTGTGCCATCGCAAAACACTCCAAGGTATAATTGCAAAAATAGCCAATGAAAATACATACAGTAGGTAACAGATCGAATTTAAATTTCGCCGGTTAATTATAGGTCTTCTTTAAGACGCCTCATTACTTATCCCGATTGCGTGCCAATGTTATCTAATTGGGGGCCTAAGGCTGTCTTGATCTACAATATGGGTACAGATATGGGTCTGTTTTCCCGCACTGTATGTGGTTCTGATCTCTACGTGTACTTTATCACATATTGTTCTTACAATTTTCCGTAGTGAAAAATAGTGCTACCAACTTACAAGAAAAAAATTATAGCGGTATCTTTTATAAGTGTTTTTAAATTTAAATTTTAAATACTTTTTATAAAGAATGGTTATACACATACACATACAAATTTTAATTACACTTAAGTGTAATTTTTTTTTAAAAAATTAATTAATTAAAAAAACGAATGACGATCATTAAAATAATAATAAGCAAATAAAAAGATAAATAAAAAGTCAAGCAACTACAGTAGTAATTGATTTATACCTTTATAGATACATAAATAAAAATATATGTATACGTATAAATCAATATACATATGTGTGGACAGCTTTGTTTTTGTAAAAATAGATTACTGTTACAATCGTTATCAGCATTTAATAAAAATATGGCATTGGTAATAAAGTAAATTCATTCAATAATACATTACATATGAAATAAATCCTACATATATTATTAATTTATTATTATTGTTTATTGTTTATTGTTATTCACATAGACGAGTATGCAATTCAATATGTAAAAAAAGGCTCGTATAACATTTGAAACGTCAAAGTTGTATAACTTATAATTTGTTATAAAGAAATTATTAAAATATATTTATCTGTAGTTAGCATTCAATTACTTGAAATCCCAGAGTTTTAAAAATTTTTAATTTAAATTGAATGACCTTAGGGGTTAACAAATCTATTAAAATCTCTCTTTTGCGAACCGATAATTTCTTCAGCGTTTATTGATTTTTATTGTTGGATTTATTGTATTCTAAATTAAATTTTTTTTAATTAAATTTAAACAGTGGCATTAGTAATGGAAGACCAGAAGAGCAAGTAGGTGAGAAAAGTTTTGCAGATACAGGTGACAGGAGAAGAGTGCCAAATAGGTCATCAAAAACCTAGAAAAATATCATTAAAAACGGTGAACGGTAAATAAAAAAACATTATAGGATTGAGTGGCCTGGAAATACCGCCCAAGGAGAACCGACGTGAACGGGATTAAGTGTTTAAAATAAAAAAAGGCATGGATTTATTTCTTTAATGTAAGCGTTTTGTAAAATCCAATTGATAAAAATCACAAATCAAAGTAGATTAATTCAACAAAGATTTGTGATTTAATTGTATGGATTTAGCCATTATCTTTTTTTATGAAATTTATTAATTTTATTACCTTCAATATTATTGCTATCGATAGACTATATTTCCCCTATTGTTTTTTTGTTTTTTATAATAAATTTACTAACATGAGCTAACTTGATAAGCAAATCCACTTTATAGGTCAAAGCCTTATATGAAGTAAAAATTCTAACCGAGTTTATCTTATCAAAGAGGGTGGAAAACAATGACAAAAGCCTTTGTTTAGATTATAAATTATTATTTATATTCTTTATTACTTTTTTTTTGTAAGAAATGTTTTGAATTTTTTTTAACAAACTTTATTATTTACTAATTATAGTTAATTAATATAATTGGATTGCTCATTTTAGTTTCTATGTGATATTTTTATATGAACTTTGGATGAACATATAGTCAATGTTAATTACGATATTGAAATTGTATTCTGTAAAATGTCTATCAATTTAACAATTCATAATTATCAATTATCTAATTATAATTTCAATAGTATATTTGAGATGATAAAGTATCTGTTTTAATAATAATAGAAATTATTGTGAAAAATTTGATTTAGGTGAAGAAGAGACTACAGAATATAGACTACAAATAAAGTTCGTAACAAAAATTTCTTTTACAAAACAAATACATAGGCAAGCAGATAAACATATATTCCTCAAAATGTTTAAAATACGTTTCTGAAAATCATATTACTAATATTTTAAATATTGGCGATAATGTGGCAACACCATCATCTTTTTAAAATAGATGATGAGGCAAACTGATAACATACGATCGATTTAATTCGTCGGACTAAAGAATATATTTGTATATGCATATTTTAAAAGTACTACAGTGTGCAAGATGTCTTCCTCACGACACTATAAACTTATTTCAAAGTTATATATTGTTTACTAAATTGCTTCATTCATTGCGTTAGACTTAATGGTTCCTTTAAGCTTAAGAAATAAAAGTACACATATTATCATGTGCTTTACAAAAAAAAATATGTCTCTAATCTATCCTTAATATTTTTAGTTACTTTAGGAAATATTGAGTACAGTTCCTCCATTCTCAAATATATTTGCTAGTTGACCATTACAAACATCAGTCATTTTTGTATGCGTCCAGTAGCTTTCCCAACCAGCTAGTGTAGTGGTTGCTATCGCCAGTTGTTAGTACCGAATGTCTTCATATCGTTGCGCACCATTCTCATATAATGAATATAGAAAATACATTATTGAAATAAAGTTAGTTGATAGGTTATCCCATAAAATAGAAGAGGGGCTCTACGTTTATATTGACGGCTCAAAGGTAGATGATAGGCTAGTTACTGTCTTAGTAACGTAATATATTTAAATATTTTAGGTTTCATCTTTTGTTGTTATTAGAGAAAATCATAACTTGTTTTGAAATGATGAGTATCTGAATAGTGGTTTTTGAGTTCAGTTCAAATTACATCTAGGGGTGCTTTTGGCTAAAACATATTTTATAAAACATATATAAACTGTTGATCAAGAGAAGAATTCAATATTTCTCTTCTTTAAGTATTAATTCTCAAGCTGTAGCTCTTTTGAAAAAGGTTTCTGCTGTAATTTTTTTTTTCAAAAAATTTTATATAAGAAAACACAAGCCAGCTTACTTTGATATCGGAATTGTAACCACCGCGTTACAGGTAACAGCATCAATTTAGATACTACTTCAATTTAAAAAAGTATTGAAAAAGTTTGATTTGGAAGTAAAAAGACTTCATGGAAATCTATTTTTTGAGTTGGATTTGGCACCTTATCATATCTGTTGTTCTGGGCCGTCACCCTATTGTGCTCACCGCGCCCATCCCTAAGACCACTACCGTCCATAAGCATCATCTCTTCCATCTTATGTTTAAAAGGAGTTTCAAAATGGCTTTAGGTTTTATTAGTTTTAAATAACAAAACAATAAATCCAAAAAGGATAATGATCATGAGAAAAAATCTAAAAAGGATCTTGATAATAATCTGACGTAACTTAACTTGTGGTCACTATTTTTCTACGAATGTGCAGAAAGAATATAGAAAAAAAGTAAGGTAATAATTTATTTAAACGGCACAAGAGGTTTATGTTGAAATAGTTCTCATTATTCATTTTCTCATTTCGCAGTGAAATGTCACGCTAAGAAAAATTTTCCATATTATTTCCTTTTTTTATTTTTTGATAATTAAAATGTACAAACCAAGCACATTTTACAATTTCCCACGGAAAAACTAATTTTATTATTTTCTATTAAAAAAATACCACGAGTAGTTGAACTAGTAAAACACTCACAAACTTGTTATAAAATTTTCAAATTATTATACAATATTATAAATTTAGAACAATAATTAAACATGATTATGAGTTTCAAAAAATGTCCGCATATGTTCATAAAAAAATTAATATTTATATTTTATGCTTTGCTTTAAATTAAAAAGTTCACTTATAAGGCAGACGAAATAAAAAAACAAAAACAAAAACAAATATACAGCAACGACACAAAGTACAAACTGACACGGGTAACAAAGCTTCTTAGATAAGAAGCTAATATGAATTGTCACTTGGTCCCCACACCCCTTTTCCAAAAAGTGGAAAACGATTTGTCAGCAATAGAAATTCAGTAAATTAAAAGGAAAAAAACACATTTCCGCATATAACCATTGAATGACAAAAAGGGTTACATTATAATGTTAAATTCATTTCAAAATACCGCATAAGTAATAAAACAAATAATTTGTTTACTTTCGTGAATTTACAAAATACTGAAATGCGAAAAAACTATTTGCTTAAAACTCTGCCATACGCAACAGAACTTGTGATAAGTAAACACTGATTGCAACAACAAGTATGGGAGCAAACATAATAAAACAAAAACAAAAATAGCGAATGATTTCAAAGAACTTACCTTTTCGTTGAGGTATATTAGAAATTTTTCGAACTGTTGATTAGTTCTAATTATATCCAAATAATCCATTTTTAGATTTCAATTACTAAAAAAATCTGTTTGTTTGATTTAATTTTTAATATGCACATAAAGAATTATTTTTTTTATTTGAACACGGAAGCGTATATCAGCGCAAACGTCGACGCTGGCAGAGCGCGATATAAAACCAAATAACTAAAAAATTTGTTCTAACTTCATATAAAGTATGTGCGTTATGCACATAATTTAATTAGTATTTTATATGAAAAGCGCACTTATTGCATGAAATTTAAACAATTTATATTATACAAAGTTTAAAAGAATGCAAATAACTTTTACTTTTTTTCGTCGTTAATTATTTTTAGTTTTTGTTGTGCGTTCGCAGCCAATATGAAAACGTTTAAGAATTCAACATTTATATAATTACACATTTTGCTTATATGAATAACATTAGAGCAAAATTTAGTTCACTTTATTTATTAACAAGTATTGTTTATTTAACAATATTATTTTCACTTTGCAAAGTGTTTTAAACCGATATTCAATCTGCTGCTCGCGACTAAACATTTAACAATGAACTCTAAGAATTTTTCAACCCCACGGTTGCAAAGCAGCACTCACAACCGAGTCTCGAACAACATATGACAGCTGTGAGAAAATGCTCGGTCTCTTTGCATTGCCGCTGAACCATATGTTTTTGTTATTGTTTATTTCTTTACGTCGGGCTTCATTGAATGTTTGGTTATATTTGCTATTTAGTTTGCATAAATTAATAGTTTAGTTTAACTTAAATAAACTTTTTTTCTACATAATATTGAATTGTTCAAATTAAACACATTAAGTTGTATATCACAATATTCCCTATTTATTTTACTTTTAAATTTTGACGCTGCATTTGATTTCAATAGTTGCATTATTTTTCATTATGTTATGCTTTAATAACACACAAAATTTGGATATATATTAAACAGATTGTAATTAAATGCATTCAGTTAAAACAGCAATACACCATTTGAAAGTTTTATTTAATAAAGTTGCTTGTGCACAATTAAATAAACAAATTGATTTACTTCATTTGCTCTTTGCTTTGCCTTTCGTAAAACAATTGTTGATGTTCAATTCGCATAAGGCGCTTCAGAAAACTAAAATTATTTATTGTATTTACACACAAAGATTTTCTAATTAGGATTTTTTTCCTAATTGAGGCAACTGAATGATATACTCATAAGTAATCAATTGAAAGTTTATATTTTAAAATAATTTAAAATTTTCTGATAGGATATATAAAAGATTAAACAAAA